CGATGGGTTACTGCAGGATTACACTCAGCTTAGGCCGTCTCAAGAGCTAATTGCCAAGGACCTACATGGCGTCGAGTGGAGATTTAAACATATTTACAGAGGTATAATGTGAGACTCCTTTGATTGTCTGTCATAATTGAACTAACTCTTAATAACTCGGCAGGTCAACCAAGGCGGCATCTGCTGACTACTGGATGGAGTCTTTTTGTAAGCCAAAAGAATCTTATTTCTGGGGATGCAGTGCTGTTTTTAAGGTATGAATCTACATATTAACCCCTACAATTGGTCATATTTATTTAAACCATTTGTGATTGTCTGCAGGGGTGAAAATGGAGAGCTAAGGTTGGGCATAAGGCGAGCTGTTCGGCCTAGAAATGGTCTTCCTGATTCAATTGTGGGCAACCAAAATTCTTGTGCAGATGATCTTGCTCGTGTGGTGAAAGCAATATCTACTAAGAGCATATTTGATGTGTTTTACAATCCAAGGTATCACTAATGGTTCAGTACTCTTCAATCAAGAAATAGAATTAGCTATATATTACTGTTTTATTAGAGCGGTGATAGAGGACATCAGGAAAACTCTTTGCTTTTGAGGTTTGAGCAGATATGTAGAATTTTGTCAATCTGTACCCCGGGTCCAATCCATGATAATAAATTTACGTAACAAGCAAAGGAGAATATCTTTTTGCCTTAAGTTGGGAGAGGAGTCCCACATCGGTTAATTAAAGGGTTATCATGGGTTTATAAGTAAGGAACACTATCTTTCTATTGGTATGAGGCCTGTTGGGGAAACCAAAAGCAAATCCATGAGAGCTTATGCTCAGAGTGGACAATATCATACCATTGTGAAGGTTTCTTACTTAACTTAGCGATGTCAATAGAATCCTCGATTAAGGGGAGGCTGTTTGAGGGCTCCATAAGCCTCAAGGGAGGCTGTATGATGTACTTTGTTTGAGGGGAGGATTGTTGGGAGAGGAGTCTCACATTGGTTAATTAAAAGGTTGGTCATGAGTTTATAAGTAAGGAACACTATCTCTAATTGGTACGATAACTTTTGGGAAAACCAAAAACAAAACCATGAGAGCTTATGCCCAAAGTGGACAATATGGTTCATGATTTCTAACATAACCAACTATATTGGTAGGTTAATGCTATGCCAGGTTAGAACAGATAGTAAATGTATCATATGGCCTTGTGATATTAGTAGGTCAAAGCATCACAAGCATCCATATTATCCAGATAGTAAATGTAATCATAACAAGCCACCTTTTTTAACGACGAAAAAGGGTAAGCATTCTTTACTTACTACTACGTAGGTATTCTAGGCTTTGTGGTCATTACTCTTCTGAGGTCTGCCAAGAATCAAACATGGGATCATATGGCCTTGTGATTTATGTTCTATAAGGTTTAGCATTAAGACACCTCTGTTTGTAACTGAGAACAAATAACAATCTTAGAGGGGGTTCGTTACTAAATGCCTCCCATTGTATAATAACACTTCTGAACTTGAGCAGAAAAACTATGAAAACTGTTATCTCAAACCAGATAGATGGTACAATTTTGGATTTAAGTGAATCGATAGACATCATATGCAAAATCTTGATTTCTAAGTTAAAATATTGTGATCTTGCAAGTAAGAACAAAAGTTTGAATCAGAACTGTTGGTGGTATTTTTAAGAAATAGTCCGTTCGTTCAAATATTCTCTATTTAGTGTCATACTGGTTCATGTTTATTATTAGAACTTTATAGTGTTCTTGACCAGCCTTTGCTTACTCAGAAAATACAATAACATGTTAAACATACTGACTTGCAGGGCATATCATGCACAGTTTGTTATATCTTGTCAGAAGTATGTGAAGAGCATCAATAATCCAGTGACCGTTGGCACAAGATTCAAAATGAGATTTGAGATGGATGATTCGCCAGAAAGAAGGTTTATCCATACACGATCAAGATCAATGGTTTTTACTATGTTATACAAATATATTTATAGGTATTTGTTTCTTGCAGGTTTAATGGTGTAGTTCTCGGAATTGGTGACATGGATCCCTTGAGATGGCCAAACTCAAAGTGGAGATGCTTGACGGTAAGTGTTATAATCCCCATAAGGGTGTTGCTGCATATAAGAATGCACAATGGTATTTGTTGGACAATCGCATTTGTGAGATCCCACATCGGTTGGAGAGGGGAACAAAGCATTCCTCACAAGGGTGTGGAAACCTCTTATTAGCAGACATGTTTTAAAACCTTGAGGGGAAACTCAGAAGGGAAAGCCCAAAGAGGACAATATCTGCTAGTAGTGGATTTGGGCTGTTACAAATGGTGTCAAACCCAAACACAGGGCGATGTGCCAGCGAGGACGCTGGCTCCCAAGGGGGGTGGATCGTGAGATCCCACCTCAGTTGGAGAGGGGAACACAACATTCCTTATAAAAGTGTGAAAACCTCTCTCTAGCAAATACGTTTTAAAACTTTGAGAGGAACCCCAGAAAGGAAAGTTCAAAGAGGACAATATCTGCTAGCGATGAGCTTGGGCTGTTACAACATCACACACTGTACTATAGAAGCTAGCAAGAACCATGTGAACGTCGTCACACAATATTTTTCTAATATTTATAATCCATCAGGTACGATGGGATAAAGACGGTGATCATCAAGAACGTGTTTCACCCTGGGAGATCGAACCTTCTGTTTCCCTCCCACCCTTGAGTGTTCAGTTTTCTCCAAGGCTGAAGAAACTGAGGACTAGTCTGCAGGCAGCCCCACCTAACGCCTTTGCTGGTATGAGTGACCAAATTGAAACTGATAAATTGTGTTTCTTCTAAGCTTGAGTTGTTAAAACTCTTCATTAAAATTTTCTTGCAGTAGGGAGGGGCGGTTTTATGGACTTTGAGGATTCAATTAGATCCTCTAAGGTCTTGCAAGGTCAAGAAAATGTAGGTATTGTATCACCGTTTTATGGACGTGATACTACAAAACGTTCCCTGGAGTTCGAGGTGCGATCTTCTGCACATCAAGCGTCGGGTGGAGCTGAGAAATATAGAGGTGACTACGTAAAGGTTCATCCAAACTCATCTTTCACAGGCTTTATGGAATCTGAAAGATTCCTGAAGGTCTTGCAAGGTCAAGAAATATGCTCATTGAGACCACAAACAAGAAAACCAGAACATTGTTTAGGTGTTTGGGGAAAGTTCAATCTCAGTGACAACTCCTTCAACACATTTCACTCACCAAACTCTAGTTTTTATCACATGGCGTCAAATGGAGCCCAAAACATGTATTTCCCTCGTAGTGAATTTTACAGTACAGGCCAAGCTGCTGCTGTGATGCGCTCAAATGATGGCAACTTTCCAAGAGAGAGTGCCTTGTTCAGCCCATCTGTTGATGCTAGTGTTATGAGCACTACTTCAGGGTCGAATATAAGGAATTCAAAGGATGAAAGTGTGAATGAGAATTCAACTGGCTGTAGACTTTTTGGCTTTTCCTTGACTACAGAAACTGCTGCAAACATGCAGAGTTCAGGGAAGAGGAGTTGTACTAAGGTAAGAAATGGGTGCTGCTGAGAAATTTGGTCAGTAATGTTATCTTTTACTGTTCTTCCATGCTCTGATATTAGTCTTGTTAAGTGAAGGTTCACAAACAAGGTAGTCTAGTGGGAAGAGCCATTGATCTCTCTAGACTTAATGGCTATACTGATCTGCTTTCTGAACTGGAGCGGCTGTTTTGCATGGAAGGACTCTTGAAAGATCCTGAAAAAGGATGGCGTGTACTGTACACCGACAACGAGAACGACGTAATGGTTGTTGGGGATTATCCATGGCTGTAAGTGCTTTATCTTGAAATCTTGATTATTTCATTGCATGAAAACAATTAAGATGGGCTATTAGGGTGGAACTCCTAGGAACATAAAATAAGATCTGAATAACATGTTCTGCCCAAGGATTTTTGTTAAGCAAGTAATAACTGATATTGTTAAATCTCACCTTGGTTGGAGAGGAAAACGAAGCATTCTTATAAGGGTGTGAAAACCTCTCTCTAGTAGACACGTTTTAAAACTATGAGGCTGACGACGATACGTAACGGGCCAAAGTAGACAATATCTACTCACGGTGGACTTGGATTGTTATAAATAGTATGAGAGCTAGACACCGAACAGTATGTCAGCAAGAACGCTGGCCCCCAAGGGGGGTGGATTGTTAGATCTTATATCGGTTGGAGAGGGGAATGGAACATTTCTTAGAAGTGTGTGGAAACCTCTCTCTAGTAGACGCGTTTTAAAACCGTGAGGCTGACAACGATATGTAACGGGTCAAAGCGAACAATATCTGCTAGCGATGAGCTTGAACTATTGAAAGCTAGATTAATTTTAAACCTACAACAAGCCTAAGTAGAAAGTCTCATGATATTGCTTCATGGCTAACTTCAATTAAAGTTTATCCTTGTGTTTCTGATGATCATGGTAGCAAAATAGATTATTGTATTGTACGTTTCCGACATTAGTTTTAAAACATATTCAGCTTTTAATCTTATCTTATGATCATTTTTCATCTCATTCTTTGCTGTTCAGTGACTTCTGTGATGCGGTTTCAAAAATCCATATATACACCCAAGAAGAAGTGGAGAAGATGACCAATGGAGTGATCAGCGATGATACTCAAAGCTGCTTAGACCAAGCTCCTTTGTGTATGGAAGCCTCAAAATCCTCTTCCGTGGGCCAACCTGATTCTTCTCCCACAGTAGTAAGAGAGTTCTAATTAGTAGTAATCAAGATGTGTGATTTCCCATATTTCCTTAGGATTAAATGTTTTCCATATCAAAGTCGAGCTCGAAGTCAGTAGCTTTGCTTCGTCCTCTCGGTCCCATAGGTTCGAATCTGTTTCAAACCTCTGCTTTCTAATGGACAGTGTGTAATTCTCCAAATCCTTTAAGCTGTGTGGAATGGTATGGAATGATATTGAATATTTTGAACTCAGTAGAAACAGAGATCATTAGAATTTAAATAACTTGATAGGTAGAACAGAGGCAACTTAATTTATTTCAAACAAAGGCAACAATTATTTATGATAAATGTGAATGTTTCCTTAAAATTACACATTGTGGATAAAGATCTCAATCACCTTTGCTTCTTCAAAATCTGCACAGGGGGCTGCTCATGAGTATAGACTTTGATCGTGGGCTATCCGACGAGTGAAAGTTGTCCTATTGTTCTTTGAACAGCGAGCGACCGATGATCATTCTTCTCACTTCACTAGTTCCTGCACCTATTTCATATAGTTTCGCATCTCTTAGTAGTCGACCGGTTGTGTATTCGTTTACATACCCGTTGCCTCCTAAACATTGTATGGCCTGTAAGATTGAACAAGAACATGAACGATTTACACATGGTAATGTTACGCACACAATGTGCTAAAATAACTGTGAATATGAGGATGGCATATTTAATCAAGTCATTTTGATCAGTTAAATCGATTCAATCTCGAAATCGTTTGACAAGTATTGGCCCATCAAGTTGGAGTTGGTGTAACTTCTTTCACAAGTTCTTGCTATGGCATAGAACCTAGAAGTTATATGGTTCTATTGGAAAATAGATAAGACTGGCATTTAAAACAAATATTCCTTTCGAAGTTTGACTGAAACAAAAGCTTCTGAAAGAAACGTGCTTCTGATAGTTCTGCGCGATAAACGATTGAAAAAAAATGTTTAATGAATGCAACTTTTACCTGCAGAGCAACTTGTGTTGCCCTTTCAGCTGCAGATAATATTACTCCAGCACAATCCTGGACACAAAACCACACGGGGTGAATACTTGAAGGAATTTATTGACCAAGCGTTTCCATGGCCATGGAATAAGAAATAATGGGTTAAAAGCATAGCTGCTACGAACATGTGCTTATATAATATTCATTAGGGAAGTGGTGAAAGATCTAAAGTAGCACCTCGGGTTGATCAAAACTTAAAGTACTCTATTTAACTAAACATCAGAGGAACATGTTATATATTAATAGAGAAACCAAAAGATTCAAGCGGAAAAAAGGGGAAAAAGAAGGTTTAAGATGCCCTACAAACCTTGGGATCTACTTTTCCACTGTCACAGTCCCTCGCAACAGAATAAACGTAGGCCCTGGAGAGGGACAGAGAGAGTCAACATGACAAAAGAACAAAAATCATAAATCAGAAATAATACATAATTACTCCAAAATCTCTCACCTTGATGATTGCAAAGACGTATACATATCGGCAAGTTTTCCCTGCAATTTCAGATTAATTGAGTCATTTTAGAGGAAACGTCAGATGCAAGTATGGTAAGATAGTCACAGTGATAGAACCTGGATAAACTGGAATTCCCCAATTGGACGACCAAACTGCTCTCTTTGTTTAACGTAAGGAAGAACAACATCCAGGCATGCCTGCATAAGACCAAGGGGACCAGCAGCCAAAACAAGCCTCTCCAAATCTAACCCAGACATCATAACATAAACTCCTGAAATAAAACATAGTACATTACACTACTAAAATAATGACAAACATGATGATGGCAATAGTTTGGTTCTCTTCCAATCAGGCTGCAACAAGACAAGGTAGTTACTATTTACATTTATATGTATCATAGCAAGTAATTGGCATGACAACACCAAAGCTTTTTCGCTTCTATTACATTAAACCCAAACAAAACATGAAAGAGCCTGGTACTAAAGCAAAAATATCAGCACATTAAATTCCTTATTCTCATCGTATCTTTTCTATCTATTATTACATCAATATTCAAAAGGTATAAATCTTAACAATTGGAACATTATCATAAAGAGATGCCATTGGAGCTAGAAATGTCAGCATTTTAGATATTATTATCCCTTGGAGACATCACATTTAGCCGTCGCAACATTTGGTCAGAGAACTACCGTCACCTACACACCAATTATGAATGCCTAGGTCCAAAGATTGCTAACAATAAGATCACATAATATTTTCTCTTCTTTTTTGGAATGTTGTGATTCTTTTAACTGAGAAAAGAAAATAGATTGATCAAAATTAGGCCACCACCATAAATTAGAACCCTGTGTTGAAATCTGCCATTAAGTAACATCCCCATCAATTGCGCATCCAACCTCATTGAAATGATTTTACAGAAATAAAATATTAATAAATATAACTATTTACTGGATGCATGAATGAACAGTAGTACACCAGCAGAATACCTTTTCCTTCTTGTCCAAGTACATTTTCTTCAGGAACAAAGCAATTTTCAAAGACAAGCTCACATCTGTTCGAACCATCACCAACATTAGTGGAAGGGGCAAGAAGATTGCATGCTCTAATTTTAGAAACTTGAATTTCAAACCACAGTAGACTCACGTATCACTCCCTCGCATGCCAAGTTTGTCTAATTTCTGGGCAGTACTGAATCTGAGAAACGTAGAAGCAGCCAATATAAGAATGAAGGAATAAGAACATTCATAGTTTCTAAATGATGTTGGAATCAGCAGCATAGGGTTAGTTTAGGAATACAGTTAAAAAAAATATATGCTAGGGTGCTACACGACTGCATGCTATAGAACTGGAACAGAAAACTCTCACTTGCAAATTCAACCTATCATTAACCAGACCAAAGATTATTCAAGTACCCGGGCATTCCTTTTTCAATGATAAACGCTGTAATTCCCTTTGAGCCAGCATTTGCGTCTGTTTTTGCATAAACAACCTGATAACATTGTGTATATCAGCTACGAGTCAATGAAATAAGCAAGAATAAAATGTTTCAACAACCACAATTTGACCATCCTACGTGGTTTTAAGATTTTAAGGTGGAATACAAACTACTACATGTAACCTGAACCTATAAAATGTTACTCCAACATGTTTATTCCCTCCTACATTACATGAAAATACATAAAATAAATAAAACCCACGGCACGGTCGATAACATCAATTATGAATTCTACAATATCAAAGGAGAAAAATGTGTCAAGAAATTCTTCTTTTATTTCTATTTACTTAAATGGCCTTTCAGTTTATTGATTCCCGTTGAATCAGCTTTTGCAAGGGTAATTTTAGTTAAGGGTCCCAATTTCTCTGAAAATGTAGGTGATTCATACTAACATACTATGACAACAAAAAATTAAGCTTAAGACAGCTCTTTTCAACAAGCTTATGACCGATCAAAACAAGGTTTCCATATAAACCAAATACATTTAATACATATATAGCCAAATACATTTAATATATGCACAACACGAAAGTGATCAAGTTCAAGGTTGTTCATAAACCATAATAGATCCCTGAATTTTAAAAAAATAATAAAAAAAAAGGAAAGAAAGAAAAGTTTTCACCATATAGCAACAAAGAAAAAAGTTCATGTAATTTTGATGAAATATCACACATCCAACATGACTAACTATTTCAGTGTTCTTAAAGATTTTTCTTTGGAGTTTTGTTTTTAATAATTCTACAGTTATAAATGAATCGAATGCTATATTATCTATCGGTATCTCTTTTCTTAGGCAACACAAGTATTAACCAATAAATAGAGGTGAATTTTTTTAACATGCTTAGAAAAATTGCAACAAAAACTACCAATGTTTGAGCTGTAGGACCATTAGTACACCACATCTTGTTTCCATTAATGATATATCCACCATCCACTCGGTCAGCTCTGCATTTCATGCTCACAACATCCGAGCCAGCTGAAAATAGGAAATGCATCATCCAAGGATGAAAACATTTTTAGTTCTTAAAAGGATCTACCTTTGCATGCACACATGAAAAACAAAAGTTCATTAAACTTACCATTGGGTTCACTCATTGCAAGAGCTCCTACATGCTCCCCTTTAATAAGCTTAACAAAGATATAGTTAAGTTAGTAGCCAAAAAGAATTACATTAATAGAAAAGAAAGGAGCAATGAGAAGGCAATAGAGCAAAGGAAAGCATGAAGATAGAATTTACTTCAGGAATTATATTAAAAATGAAAAAAAAAAAAAAAAACAAAAAAATTCCGGTATGACACTTCCAGATGACTAGGCATCAGAGTAAATGAAGCGAGCATGACATTGTTATGTGCAGTTTGGTAATTATTATAGCATGGAGTAAAACCTTAGGCAAGTACTTCTCTTTTTGAGCTGGGCTTCCATTCCTCACCTGAAAAATCAACAAATACGAGGTTAACATAACTTATGTAGTCCATACTGCACTTAATGATTTCACTACGACATATAATCCTACTATGACGTCACTAACACAATATTTAATCACTTCAATTTACCAGCTGATTGATGCACAGGTTAGAATGTGCACCGAAGGAGAGGGCAACAGACCCAGAAGCACGACTTATTTCTTCCATTGCTATACAGTGATATAAGTAACCAAGACCAAGTCCTCCATATTCCTCTACAAGACAATCAATAGCTTAGTTTTAAAATATCTTGAAAGAATGAGAGAAACAGTACTATAGCAAAATATATGCAACCATCTCAATATTCATCTAATTTAAGAAGGCACTTACTATGTATCAATTATCTCAATTAGATTTACCTCCATCAGGACACTCATAATGTACAATAAGAGTATAATTAAATAAACTTTTATGGATAATAACTAGAAGCGGAAAAGATGAAAATTCATGAATAAAGAGGATATGAATATAATTATTAAGATTGAATAACTCCAAATAACAGTGAATGAGGGAAGCATCAAAAACGATTTCTCACGCTTTACCAGGTGCAGTAATTCCATGGAGATTGAAGTCCCCCATGAGCTTCCATAAGTTAACATCCTACAATAAGGTACATTTTAGCCAAATCATAAAGAAACTCACATTTGTAAATTAAAAAAGAAAAGAAAAAACATATGAAGTAAATATATAGGGGGAGAGAGACTTTCAACTAACCTGCGGGAAAGAGTTCATTTGATCAATTTTTGCAGCATGGGGAGCAATGTTATCTTGAGCAAATTGTTTAACACTTTCTTTGAACTGCAATTAATTTAATAAATTCTTTTAGAAAATCAGTAACAAACACTTTCATCATTCTACTGGTGCAAACTAGGTTATACATAACTTGTAACCAAAGACAATCGAAAGCAAACCATCCACAAATGAAACAAACAATTCTCAATCCGAGCTTCATGGTCATAAATTCACATCACAAATCAACCAAAGCTACACTGAAGATTCCACAGTCTAATTCAAACAATAAAAATCCAAAAATAGAAGGCCATCGACAACGAAATCATCAACTCCCAAACAAATCATACTGAAAGCTCATCATCATCATAAAACAAGAGAGAAAGACCTGAAGTTGAGTATCATCAAAAAGCAGAGCAGAAGAGAATGAAGCAGAATGCCTCTGCTTCCTAAAAATCGAAGCATATGCAACAGTCCTTGCAGCAAAGAGTCTCTGCATCTCGCTTACTGGAAGATGGTCGGAAGAAGAACGGAGCAAGAGTGGAAGAGAGACGGGGAAGAACGTGGAAGCTTTAAATAGTGAAACTTCATACAAGTTCCGTAAATAGGCCGGAAGTTGGGGTGAAACAAATGTACGTTACGTGGCGAACTCTCATTGGTTAGAATAGGAGAAGATTCTCTGTTATCCAATTGAATAACAAGAACTCTTCCGAGCTCTGCTAGTTGCGACCACAGGGTAAAACCACTTTCAATAGGATTGGATGTGACCTATGACTCATCATCTACCCTTTTATTTTTATATATCAATCCATCAATAAGATATACATACACGTATATATAAATAATACTAACAAAAATATTGTGACATAAGTAACAAATCAATTCGTCATCGGTCTCTCTATCCTGCGATTCGGAATAAACAGATTCATCCGACAATACAAGAGTTATAAAAATTAATATTTTTATTATAAACAATAATTAATTTATTAAAAATTAATTTAATATAGAAATCTATTAAATAGATTTTAAAGGATTAGAAATACACAATAAAAAAGAAAAAATAATAAATAAACTATGTTGGGTAAATAATTTTTTTCCAAAAATGGATGCCTATGCTAGAAAGAGCTCCAAGACCTTATTAATTTTGATTTGAACTCCTCCTTTTTACTTAAATTCATTAATGAATGAGTTACCCAAGACTTGTTGGTAATTGCTTGATTGATTGTCGGCTGAATTATTTCTAGGGAGAATGCCCGTTGATAAGGAAAAAAATGCCTCTGAGATAAGTTATACATAACCAAACTATACAATGAGATTTTGGTCCTCGCTCCTTTGCTTCCCTTCCTCTTTCTCTTTTCCTTACTTCATAGGGTGACTCTCGATGTTCATTGGCCTGTTGCGCCTGTAGCTGCAAACTCAACTGTTTGCTTGGTCTATCTTTTTCCATGTGAATTAGAAAGGCACATCTGATTGGTACGCTATTTGTCGATCTTTCTTTTTGTGAGAAGTAGTTCGTATTAATCCACAAAATTGCTTCTATAGAGGTTCATTCAGTCCAACAATGGGGAGTTGGTGCATTGTAGCAGGTGAGTCCCCCTCGCTACACTATGTCTTTCAGTTTCTGCTTTGTTTAGTGTCATTTTCTTGTTTACTCTCTCATGCTAATACTTCATCCTTTTTTCCACTATTATCCACTCCTATAAAATGTTAAACAAGTCGGGTCATCCTCTTTATCCTCATTGGACTCAAGAACATCGATAAGCTAAACCAATTAGGCAGTAGATTCGATCGATCTAAATCTGCCTAGCTACCTTCTTAAATAGAAAGAATCCCTGATTTATTAAAAAAAACATCGAGAAAGATATTATGAGCACCAAGTTGATGCTGCATATCTTTTCTTCTTATATTTTTTTTTTTATGTATCACACGTTTCCCCCCTATGAATTAGTTCTAAGAAAGTAGCCGTTCACGTCATAAATCTCGATTTTTGATGTAGTTGCAATAAGTTTCCTTTTTTTCGTCGAGATTGGGTTGGTGTTCAGCGTCAGTACCTGAGTGAGAGTAGCCAAAGAGAACAGCCGGCCAGTGGGAGCGAGAAGTTTGGGATTCGTGACTGCAATCCCCAGGAGGGCAAGGAAAGTCCCGCCAAAATGTCCAAGACTGCGGGGTGGAAAGCTTTCTGAAAAAAATCTTTTTTTTTTTTTTAATCATCTTGAGAGAGAAGGCAAAGAAGAAAAAAATACCAAGTAATTGACAAAAGGAAAGAGAGGGAACAAATTTATCTTTCCTGAGTCTTTTTTTTGTGATCGAATGACATTGCTCCCACATCTTTTTTCGGTCTGGCCATGTGCAGAAATGGTTTTATATTGGGTTTCAGACCTTATTCACTCTCCTTATCTTCTTTAACTTGGCCTCCTCGATGATATGTCGCCTCATCTCGGTGTCCTATAAGAAAAATGGTGCAGCAGCAGTTGACTGACGATGTAGATTTGGAACTGGCAAATGAAAGAGAAACCCGAGAGGGTCTTTTCAATATTTTTTCGGAGTGAATAGACAGAAGGAGGATATATAGATTTGCGTGCGGAAGAACTCTACCTAAGAAGTTAGCCTGAGAAGCTTGAGCTTGAAATGCTTTTTGAAACGTATGTTGATTGAACTAATAGGTGCAAGGTGAAGGCTTCACCCTAATTTACATAGCCTTCCTGGACACAAATTTTTCCTTGGGGCGGGCTAATTTTCCTAATAAAAAAGAAATAAGGGATCCAGGCTTTTTTTTTTTTTTGGGGGGGGGGGGGGG